TCCTTTATGAATCACGTGCCCTCACCCAACAAAGAGCTTAGTTCCACACACAATGAATTTTAAGAACGTAGGAACTCAATATAGGAAAAATTCACTCGCTCTCAGAAATAACATTCATATGCCACAAATGATGCATCATAGGCTTGCCCGTAGTGTAATACTCTACTAATCGAGCTCATCCAATCTAGGATCAAGTAGGACTTCAATTAGTTGTACTGTAGGCTGCGGGTCGGGTAGGATACATTTGGATATGACTGACTACACCACCCTTAAGCACTTTAATACATATACTTTAATACTACAGCACATACTTATGTTAAACCAGAATTCCACCTTCACTTCAATTTATGTTACCCCATACTTCTTTAAGCACAAGTATATCACTAGCCACCACCATCAAGAATTATTTTTCATACAATACAACTATTTTTTTTTCTTTTTTTCTTTTTTTTTTTCTTTCAATCCAAGTGGCTTTTATTGACATATTTTATTTCTTTCTTTCAAACAGTGCACCTTCCTCCTTATTTCATTTGTTCCACTCAAAAGCCAAACCACCACCCCATACTTTAACCTTTACATAATTCATCACAATTCAAGTGCTCATGAGAGGTGACAAGGTTCAAATATATGGTCGATTCAAACAAAGGGGTATGGCTTGTAATGCGGTTACCAAAGAAATAGGATTATAGGCTCAAAGGGGTTAACTACGTTATATGACATTCAGGCGGGTAAACTCTATATATCTGGCTCAACAAAGAAATGCCTATATTACTTCCCAGACTGAACAAGACTACCATTTCCCATTGCACACACACGGGGCAAGTTCTAGACATCAAATGCAATGTACTGAATACATACAAACCTCACACATACATGGCACATAACTCACTCAGGATTGGTTTTATTACGACACTCTAGTAAAAGCAGTCCAGCAAATTTAAGAATCTATGATTTAAGGTACTTATACTAAAGTCAAAAACTAAGCCTAAGCGTCACAACCAGAGTACTAACTATTCTCAAGGCATAACAAAGTTAAGAGATATCGCTGTAATTCAATTCATAGCCCAGCGATTTCTACTCCTAAAAATTAAAACTAACTACACCCGGTTCAAATAAAACCCTTGGAAAAGAACCGCGGCCCAAAGAAAAACCAAGGGGAAAATTACTACACTACCTACAAGAAAATCTATTTGATTTTTTTTTCTTTAGACTTAATTCCCTCAAGAAAACTGTCTAGGAGATCCATCGTCAGAAAGAGTCTAATTTGTTTTCTAATTTAAAAGGCTAAGACGATACTAACTAAAACAAATAGCTAAAACAAGACTAATTGCTTTCTACAAGTCCCCACCCCACACTTATTTCATGCAATGTCCTCAGTGCATACACAACTGACAAAACAAGAAAAAAGATTAGTAAGGTGTAGGAAAAACTCCCTGATCAAGCTGCATCCTCTCCCTCATCCTCTGATGCTACCCACTCCTCATTTTGTGCTTCCTCCTCATCGTCATCATCATCCTCATCATATGACTGCTCCGGCTCGGTCTCGGACTGCTTAGGTATGTTAACATCCTCATCCTTAGGGAGTCTGTATCCATCACCTATCCCAACCAGCTGTTGGGCATGAGCATTGAGCGGGTACCACTGCTCCAATATGGCCCTCTCCTCTGTAGTGTTCGGCCGTCCCCCTATCCAAAGCTGCAAGTCCATCATCCCATATAAATAGGCCATGAAGATGTCATCATGTGCATTGCGCTCAGCTCCTGTCAGTGAAGTTGTGGTGTTCTTCTCCTTAACCCAGACATTTGTGAGGTCCGTTGGTCTTATGGGTGGATCAATGATATGATCGAACTCCTTTTCCTCCTCCACTTCTTCTTGCCGTAAGTACTGAGTTAGCATGTTTGCAAAGGGCATTCGGTCAATTTTCTTGCTAGTTCGTACTTGGGTCATCAGATAACGGATCAAGTGGCCCACATTCACCCTTTGGCCCTTCATTAAGAAACACAACACACAAGTGCTCTCACGACTAATGAGAGTGTCATGGCTGCACGGTAGGAGCCGTGAATTGATCAACTTCAACCATACTTGTGCTTCTGCCTTCATATTCTTCTTTGGGAACTTCCTATGGCAGTTGGTTTTCTTATCCCGCACCCAAGCCGCCACAGAGTTGACACCACAAAGAGTGTGTCTCGGCTCTTGATAAGTAGGACGGACTATGGACTGGTCCAAGGGTTCCCCAGGAACATCCGGAGCACCTAAGAAATTGCATTTTGCCGAGGCTGAAAAATCTATCAACCTTCCACGAATCGACACTAGTTGTTCAGGATCCTCTGGATCAAACCCAGCATAAAATTCCCTCACAAGATTGATGTTGATCTCTCTAGAGTTTCGGAACACATAGCTCAACCCCAACTCATTGATGCCTCTCCAAATAGCATGGTACTTGACTTTCAAGCGACACTCATGAATATCAGCTTCCGGATGTATATGTTTTGGCCTACAACGCTTGTACCAATCCTTAACATGTGGGGGTATGCTTTTGATTCCAAATTATCGTTGGCCCTGAGGTTGTGGACGGGTGGCTGCAATAGCTGCAACTGCTCTCAGTCCTTCACCTTGACTGGAAAAAGTTCCCCCCCACCCCCTCCCCTTTCTCTTCTTCTAGGGAGGTGCAGAAGTAGCTTTAGCCTTAGACGGAGCAGTGGATGTGGCTTTGCCTTTACCGGTGTCTTTTCTTGGAGGCATATTTGTACCTACACAAGTGAGCATAAATCAGTTTAAGCGGTATTGCAACATCTCAAAACATGGTCTTGCCACCCACACTTAGAGTTTAACACATGATTATCAATAGTTTCCGAGGTTACTCAAACTTCACCTCATCGTTTCTTAGCATGAGAATCAAGCAATGACACATGGGTGCTTCTTCCACATTTGAAGCATCGGGCTACCAGTGAGCCACCCTACACTTAAGATTTTAAAGTGGTGCACAACTACATAGCACTAGTCTTATAATCCGGGAGACTCGGGCTCCAATGGGGACAAAGAATGACTTTGAGGAATTATAACAAACACTTAGCATATACTAGTGCCATGGGAGTGCTTGTAGGGGTGAGGGATTGCCCCTCCCTCCCAGATTGGCTTGGGAATTCCGTACTACCACTTGTTCACACAATAGCAACACCATTCCTATGGGGTTCATGGGGTTGGGACACACAAACACATGGTTACAATAAAGAACAACCCCAAATATTTGTGTCCAATATCATGCATTCACCTAACTCGAAATTGCCAAAGAATGGAGATAGAAACCATACCGTAAATATTTAAGAGAAGGAATTTTCCTTTGAATTGCTGTTGCAAGTGAAAGAAATAGCAGAAGATTGCTTGTCTTCAATGGAATTGTGAGGGGAAGGGTTTGGCAGTGTTCTGCTTGAGTGTGTGAGGGTGTGTTTTGTGAGCAGTGGGGTTTGTGTGAGAGGAGAAGAGAAGAAATGGGGCGTGCAGTATATTTTCTTTTAGGCGTGGGTGTTTTAAGTTGGGTTTTTAAGAGGGGGAATTAAAGGAAAACAAAACAAAAAGAAAATAAAAGCAAAAAACTAACCTGGCAGTGCGATCTCTCAGACGAGCGACATACCTGGCGAGGCGAGCTTAGAGGCAGGCGACGCGAGGGATTCCGCGAGATGTGTCTCGCTATAACCCATGTGAGGCAAGCTCCTTAGTGAGCTCAATACTTGGCGTTGCATGGCTTAACGCATGGCCCAGCTTGCTGGAGACCAGGCAGCACAAGATACTGCGTACGACTTGCCAAAATCACCTGCAAACATGTTAGTTCCTAAAAACAAAAAGAAAAATTCTAACTACACTAAAAATCAACTACAAATTGGGTTGCCTCCCAACTAGCGCCTTAGTTAACATCACGGAATGACGAATACAACATTACAATGGGTTGCCTCTCATGAAGCGCCTAATTTAACATCGTGGCATGATGTAGGTAATCGCACTTAAGGCTCGCTCAACATTGGTGGCTCGAGCAAATGAGTTACCGACACTACTTTCGCGTCATCCATGCCCAAATAATGTTTAAACCTGTGTCCATTGACTCTGAACGTACGAGAGTCATTTTTTGCAGCAATCTCTACGGCTCTGATGGGGTGAATCTCTACCACACAAAATGGTCCTGGCCATCTTGACTTCAATTTGCCCGGAAACAATCTCAATCTCGAATTGAATAATAATACCCTGTCTACCAGCTAAAAGTTTCGCTCAAGAATATTTTTGTCGTGCACCAGTTTCATTCTTTCCTTGTATGACCTTGTACTTTCAAAAGCATGGTATCGAAACTCGTCAAGTTCATGCAACTCTGTGACTCTACTAGTTCCAGCGGCTTCCACGTCCAGATTTAATTATCGCAACACCCGGGAGGCTTTATGCTCTAACTCCACCAGCAAGTGACATGCCTTTCCAAACACCAATTTATACGGTGACATTCCAATCGGAGTTTTGAATGCAGTGCGGTAATCCCATAACGTATCATTCAATTTTCTTGCCCAATCAGTCCGAGTAGCATTTATAGTTTTGGTCAAAACACTCTTGATTTCTCTATTTGACACCTCGACTTGCTCACTCATTTGTGGGTGATACAGAGTGGCAACTTTGTCGCGAACGCCATATTTCTCCAACAACTTTTCAAAGGCTCGGTTGCAGAAGTGGTTACCCCCATCACTGATGATAGATTTTGGAGAGCCAAATCGGGTGAAGATGTTCTTTCTCAGGAAACCAATAACTGCCTTCGCATCATTTATAGGAAGTGCGACGGCTTCTACCCATTTTGAGACATAGTCCACCGCTAGAAGTATGTACTTGTTATTGTATGAGCTAACAAATGGTCCCATAAAGTCAATTCCCCACACATCAAACACCTCTACCTCTAGGATCGGGTTCATGGTCATCTCATGTCGACGGAAAATATTCCTCGTCCGTTGGCACTCATCATAATTTTTCACCTAGAAGTGTGCATCTTTAAACATCGTCGGCCAATAAAAACCTGACTTCAACACTTTAGCCGTTGTCCTTATGCCCTCAAAATGTCCTCCATACAGTGAAGCATGACTTGCCTGCAAAACAGAAGATTGATCTATCTCGGGAATGCATCTCCGGATCATGTTATCAAGACAAATCCTAAACAGATATGGTTCATCCCAGAAATACATGCGATAATCACGAAAAGACTTTTTCTTTTGCACAGAAGACAAGTCATAAGGAACAATACCGCTTTCCAGGTAATTTGCAATATTTGCATACCATGGTGTAGCATCGAGGCTTGTCGCTAAGAGTTGTTCATCTGGGAAAGTCTCCACAATCTCTTCTACCTCAACCTTCTTCTCGGCTCATTCCAGCCTAGACAAGTGATTAGCCACTTGGTTCTCTGTTCCCTATCTGTCACGTATTTCCAAGTCAAATTCTTGCAGCAGTAGCACCCATCGAATTAGGTGCGGTTTTGACTCCTTTTTCTCAATTAGGTACCTAAGAGCAGCATGGTCAGTATAAACAATTACCTTCGAGCCTATCAGGTATGACCTGAATTTGTCAAATGCGAACACCACTGCTAGCATCTCCTTCTCGGTCACTGTGTAATTTAGTTGGGCACCACTCTAATTTCTACTTGCGTAGTATATTGGATGCATGACTTTATCTTTTTGCTGCCCAAGAACTGCTCCCACAGCATAGTTGCTCGCATCACACATCAGCTCAAATGGTTGCCCCAGTCGGGTGCAACTATGGTAAGTGTTGTCACCAGCCTCTTCTTCAATTCCTCAAAAGCTACCCTGCAGTCATCAGAAAACACAAAAGGGTGATCGATTTTAAGCAATTTACACAAGGGGTTAGCAATTTTGGAGAAGTCTTTTATAAACCATCTATAGAAACCGGCGTGGCCAGGGAAACTTGTTATTGCTTTGACGGAAGTGGGTGGTTGAAAATTTTATATCACATCAACCTTTGCACGATCTACCTCAATGCCCTTACTCGACACTAGGTACCCTAAGACTATACCTTCTTGTACCATGAAATGGCACTTTTCCCAATTAAGCAATAGATTAGTCTCCACACATCTTTTCAGTACTCTTTTTCAAATTCTTTAGGCAATCATCGAATGAGTCTCCCACCATTGAGAAATAATCCATAAAGGCCTCCATAATGTCCTCTACCATATATGTGAAGATGGCCATCATGCACCTTTGAAATATGGCGGGTGCATTGCATAAGTCGAACGACATTCTCCGAAAAGCGTAGACGCCATATGGACCGGTGAATGACGTTTTCTCTCTATCTTCCGGAGTAATGGAGATCTGATTGTACCCCGAGTATCCATCCAGAAAGCAAAAGTGGGACCTCCCGGCCAGTTTATCTAGCATTTGATCAATGAACGACACGGGAAAGTGATCTTTTCGGGTGGCCTTGTTCAATCTTCTGTAGTCCATATAAATTCGTCATCCCGTGATTGTTCTTGTTGATATCAACTCGTTGTTATCATTTTGCACTACAATCATCCCACCTTTCTTTGGCACACATTGGACTGGGCTGATCCAGTTGCTATCGGAGATGGGGAAAATGATCCCCGCATCTAACCACTTTATCACCACCTTTTTCAAAACTACCTTCATGTTGGGGTTCAGCCTTCTTTGATGTTCTCTAGAAGGTTTGTGGCCATCTTCCAGTAGAATCTTATTACAAAAGGCCGGGCTAATACCCTTAATGTCTGCAATGGTCCAACCAATTACAGTTTTGCACTCAATCAATACCTGCAAAAGATGTTCTTTTTGCACATCTAACAAACCAGATGAGATAATGACAGGTAAAGTTGAGTTAGGTCCCAAGAAAGCATACCTGAGATGAGGTGGTAGTGGCTTCAGTTCTAACTTTGGTGGCTCTTCTATCGATGGATTAGCTGGAGGAGTTTTCCTTTCTTCTAAGTGCAAAGGCTCAAATTCGAGCTCTCTTTTCCAAAACCCTTGGCCTTCAACAGCCAGTACCCACTCTGCCATGTCCTCTCCATTTGCTTTATCTAAGTTCATGAGGCAGACTGCTAGAGGGTCTTTAGCATTCAAGGTCTCATCTTCTTCCTCCAAAATTACATCCACAACTTTTATTAGAGAGCAGTTAGCAAATTCACTTGGTCGCCGCATAGACTTCTACATATTGAATGTTATATCTTCATCATTTAGTCTCATTTTTAGCTCTCCCAGTGGCCAATAATGGTCTTCCCAAAATTATGGGAATCTCCTCGTCAACACGGCAGTCCAGAATGACAAAATCTATTGGGAACACAAACTTCCCAACTTGTACTAATACATCATCAAGGATACCTAATGGCCTCTTTACTGTCCGGTCGGCTAGATGTAGTAGCATGGATGTGGGTCTTGCTCTTCCAATACCTAACCTTTTGTAGATAGCCAAGGGCATCAAGTTTATGCTTGGCCCTAAATCCCACAATGCTTTAGCAAAAGCATAGCTGCCTATCGTGCATGGGATTGTGAAACTCCATGGGTCTAATAACTTCTCAGCTATGGGTCTCGTCACAACTGCACTACAAGTCTGGGTCAATGTAACAGTGGACAGGTCTTGGAAGTCGAATTTGCGAGACATTAAATCTTTCATCATTTTGGCATACCCAGGCATCTTCCGCAAAGCGTTAATCAGTGGAATGTTCACCTAGATTTGTTTCGATATCTCCATGAATTTCTTATACTGCTCATCCTTATGATATTTGGCCAATCTCTGTGGGAATGGTGCTGGAGGTCGCTTCCGTCTTTTGATTTGAGTTTTATCTTGCTCAGGCACTACTTCTACTGTCGTTTCTTGTGCTACCTCAGTCTTCTTCGCAACCTCTTTTTCTTTGCTTCTGCTCTCTTGTGCATGTTGTACTGTCACCTAAGTTAACCCTGTTGCATCATCTATCTCAATGGGTACTTGCACAAGTGTTTCCGTAGGTCGGCTTTCGCGAGCAATTTCTTGCTTCAGATCTAGGTCTCACCATTTCTTAGACTCACTACCATAAGTTGTTTCGGTCCCTGCTCTTTTGGATTGACTTGTGTGTCTACAGGTAACGTCCCTTGGGGATAATTATTTAGAGCCATCGAAATCTTTCCTAATTGAATCTCAATTCCCTTTATCGATGATTCATGTGAGTCCACTCTCTCTTGCATTTTTCTATTGGACCTAATCAGTTGTTGCAGCATTCCTTTAAGTTTGGCAAACCCATCATCTTGTCTCACTATCTGTTGTTGTTGAGGCTGTTGATAAGCTAGCTGCTGATTTTGCTGGTTGTAACCCTGTTGCCTTTGGTAAGGCACAACTTGACCCTGTAGTCGCATAGCTCCAGGATTGTTGTTGTTATTGTACTGCTGTTGTGCTGGCCTATATTGTTGATTCTGCTGCCCCCAATTCTGACCACCTTGCCTCTGTCCCCCATAGTTGGCCACATAGTTCATATCTTCCTGATAGTGCTGGTTGTCACCTTCCGCACTCCACGAGCATACATATGGTTGGTTAATGCATGGTGTACATAAGCCCACATTAGTTGCATCAACTATGTGTACCTGCTGCTTCTAGCCTGATTCATCGATCTTTTTGGTGATGATACTCATTTGCGTCATTAAAGTGGCCACATTTTCAGCTATGGAGTTGTTTGGGTCCAAAGCCACTGAATGAACTACAAGAGTGATTGTAGAGTCTCTTGTCATCCATCTTGAGTTTTGGGCCATTTTATCAAGTAGGATCTTGCATTCTGTGAATGTTTTGCTCATAAATGCTCCACATGTTGAAGCATCAACATTGGCCTTTAAGTCGTCTGCCAGTCCCATGTAAAACCTCTGCCCCAACATCTGAGCTGGAATTCCATGATGTGGACATTTAACCAGCATACCCTTGAACCTCTCCCACGTTTCTTGTAATATTTCTGTTGGTCTCTGCCTGAAGCTCAATATATCATCAATTTGTTTAGTAGTCTTATTGGGTGGATAGAACTTGTTCAAAAATTGCTTGACTAATTCCCTCCATGTAGTGATGGAGTTTATGGGGAGTGAATTAAGCCAAGTCTGAGCTTCTCCTGTCACCGAGAATGAAAAAAATAACAACTTTATTGCTTCCGGTGTCACATTAGGTTGCCTTTGCGTGACACATATCGATAGGAAATTCTTCAGATGCAACTGAGGATCTTCAATGTATGACCCTGAGAACAGTCCCTTGTTCTGCAACTAATGTAGCATGTTGTTTGTGATTTGAAATGATTCCGCTTATATCTGAGGGACTGCAATTGCGATTGCCAGATTTTTGGTGGTGGGTTGTGCCCAGTCATACAATGCTGCTTCTGGCACAAGAGGCACCACACCTTGATTGTTCGGTTCATTCTCATTGTTTCTGTTGTTTGGATTTTCTACTCTGTCATCCATGTCTGGTTCGATTTGTTCTGTTGAGTTCTGTTGTTGTTTGCCCTTCTTGTTTGCATGATTCAGTGCCTTGAAAACATTCCTAGGATCTGATAATGCTTCGAACAATTCACCAGTTCTTGAGGAGTTTCTAGGCATGCACCTGTAGCACCCAAGACTACAAACGTTAAAATTTCAATATATTTGGTTTATAATGAAGAAAATTGACTACACTAAGAATTATAGCAATTCTTTTAGCTGTAATTAATAACACCGTTAATTTCCCGGCAACGGCGCCAAAATTTGGTCACGCCCAACTATGCCTTGTAAAAAGGACTTAGCAGTCATTGCAAATATTTTCCGGTTAATAAGTCCGAACTCTAATTCCACAGAAAATTAACATATTAAACACAGCTACTAGACTCGCATAAATTCACGCAATCAATCTTCAGAAATATTAAGTAACAAATTTGATGTTTACTAACTAAATATCACGTAATGAAAATGCAATAATTAATAACTAACTACGAACGGGTTGTAGACAAGAATTGGAATGATCTAAGGTTATGATTTCCCCTATTGTAGGAATCCTTTCCGCTACGTTTTCTATAAATTTGCCTAAGTCTTCTCTACCGATCATGAACGCTCTGAGTGTTGTAATTCTCTCCCGAGTAACTACCACTATTTACTAGACATATTCTCCCGAATTACGCTAGTGGCATTAAGTACGACTCACTCGGATCGCACCAAGGTTTCATTATCCGTAATCCCACTTTTAAACCCTCCGTATTGATCCCTCATATACGTTAGGAGTGATGTTGTTCAACAATTACCTAATTATGCACTCTCCCGAGTAATACACACTAAATAGGCACAGTCGATTGAGGGCCATTCAATCAACAACAATAATAATAGAGTTGAACAAATAGAGAAAATAGTACTACGACAAATCTATATTAACGTAACAGGAAAATCATCCTCCAATAGGTTCCATCAAAACCCTAGATTAGGAGTTTATCTACTGATACTTATAGTAACAATATACCAGATGTTTTGCATAATTCAATTACAAAGTAAAGATGAAAGGATGTAGAAATCAATGATTCTAACTCCTAACTGTTGTTTCACGAGCTATCCTTGCCTCCAGTTGCAAAACTGCTTCAAAAGTGGCATTTTATGTCTATTTATATGTGCAGGAAAAGACCTAAACGACATAGGCCAAGCCCTGGTCAATCCAAGAGACGAAATAAGCCTTCAAAGTTCGGAGTGTGCGCGCCTCAGATCTCGCCTTACGAGGCTTCGCGCGAGCAAGATCTCGCCCCAAACCTGGCGTCGCTAGCCTTAATGCAAGGTGGACCTTGCCTCCTGCCTCGCCTAGCCTTCTCCCACGTGAGATATTAAGCTTTCTTCGTAGCTTTCTCATTTAGCCGCTGCTCACTTCTTTCTTTCTTAGTTTCAACTGTGTTCGAGCACGCTTTAAACTTTAATTATTCCTTTTGCTCTACTTTCATCTCCAATTCACCTATACATAAATTAGACTCCATTACGCGCAAATAAAGTGTAGTTTATCATTAAAGTATACAAAATGCAAGGAAAATAATGTACTAAATTTAATATGGAATTATAGCCACATATCATGATGTCCTCGTTAGGACTGGGAACGACTACGTCCTTGTCTTCCCATTTGCAGTCCTCTCGGACAGTCTTGTGTGTCTCCTTAGTAATGTAGCAGACATACCTTAATGCCTCCTCATCCCGATCTCCTTGTGCGGAGGCTTTCTCGACTTTGAATTTGTTACCTACGGAGTAGCTGCCGGGGATAAAATGTGTAAGAGGAGGTCTCGAGGCTACCACCGGAGGCACTGCCACGGTGTCGGTGGCCGAGGAAGAAGTCATCGGTGCAGTGTTTTGAGGTACTCATTTTGAGGTCTTCGCCATCTCTATCTGAGATTATGAAGATCTGGGGAGTTGATATGCAGATTTGAAGATAAGGTATGAATATTTGAATGTGAGCTATGAAGATATGTAGGTATGAAGAACAAGTTGTGAAGGTTTGAGGAGATGGGTACGAAGGATCGGCAAAACGGATGAAGATATGAAAAGCTCGAAGGTAACTTAAGAAAATTTGAAGTCAGAAAGTAAAAAAGTGAAAGTAAGGAACCGAAGCTTTTATAGGGAAAGAATAATGATAGCGAGATGTTTCGAATTCGATAACCGCCAAGGGTGTTCAATCGACGACTGACACACGTCCAAAGTCAGAGAGACGTGACTAGTGGGACGTTTCAGTTTGTCAGCTTACGCATGACTTATGAGGGAAGGAACCGGAGTGAATTGGTCACTTCTCATCGCTCCTATAATCTACTCTCCAAAAAGTGAGGGCACTATCTGTATGCGGGTAAAATCGAGGATAGAGTTATTATTGATTTCCTGTTATGAATGAGGAATGACGTTACTTGTTGCTGGCTCGGGTGAGCCCGAAGATATCCACATATCAGAACTAAGAACAGAAGAATGATATAACGGGTATCGAGCACGACCGAACCCGGAGGGAATCAAGCTCCACTGGAATGAAGAATCGAGGGTAAAAGAAAGGCGGTTGAAGGAGAAAAACGAGGAGCCGAAATATCGGCCATCAGCCGGATATTACGGCGCATATCACGCTCGGTATTGACTGCAGATCTTATTTTCGTGGGAAAGAAGGAAGGAAAAGATTTTTACTTCATTTAGACTTATATTAGGGTTAAATCTCCTCTACTATATAAAGAGGAAGACCCCTTCATTTTTCGGACTTACTTTTTCACGCATAACAAGGCAATAAAATTTACTTTAGCTCTCAGCAATAGTTTTAAGCGTTCTTCAGTTATTTATTTGTTTATTCGGATCTGAGCTATCTCGAGGGCTCAATCAAGAACGATCACTGGCTTTAAGTTAAACTCAAGCTAGGCTTAATTATTGCATCACTTTATTTTGATCATTCCATCTTATTTCAATTCAACTATTTACTGTTCTTTGATCATTTCTATTAAATTAATTAATCACATATCTTTTAAGCCGCATACAAATTTAATTATTATCCATTATAAGGGTAAACACATGAAACCCTTTTCGAGATCAACCGTCAACGGTCTGATCGAGCTGATCTCTGGGTGGTGTTGTAAGTTGTGACTACTAGAATGGCTCTGCATGACCGCTGTACATTTGTCTGGCCATTGTACTTTTTTGGGTCAAAATTCTACTATGATAAAAGCAATTTGCGATTCATTAAACAGCGACCTTTTAGGGGGAAAAGCTCTGAAATTAGGCGGCCACCCACCAGAAACATGTTTCTTCTTTCTTGCCAGAAAAGATTGGTCCAACAAATACCTAAAGCTTTCCGCTGATGGAAATAAAATATGCAAGTTCTTGATACATTCATTGTCTTCTAGAATATCAAATAATCTGGGTTTTATTTCTAAGTATCTTTTATGAGGTACTGAATTGCAAGCCAGGAATGGAAAATATCTGTAGATTGATTTCTCACTTCTTTGGTCTACTTTAGTTGCAAAGCCTAAAATTTTTGCATGATGGACGTGTCAGGGATAGACAAGTTCCGTCACATAACACTCAATTAATTATTTGCTCTACTTACTGTGAGCTTTCTGGTTGTGCCTATTTCCATGAATATTCACCTAAAGAATACTGATTTCCGATAAGGGATTAAAAAAGAAAAAGTTAAAAATTAACAGAAAATGTGGCTATAGGGAATTGAACTAGTGACCTTACAAAGATTTTGAACCCTCAACACAACTAAGCTATTCTTTTCTACCATGTCAAGGAGATTCAAAATATAATATATAAAGGTACAGAACAGATTTGACTTTATATGTGCAGTGTAATTTTCGGATGAAGGGGATGAACCTCTTCCGCCCCCTAAATCCACCCCTTCATTTAATAACAAGGTTTGTCATTTCTATCTTCCACCTATTTCAGATGGTCATAGATCCATACATGTTTCAAGCTAATTCATTAGGACATTGCTTGATGCAAGAGCTACATGTTTTGTGGCTGAAGAATC